AGAAAGAAAGAAAGAAAGAAAGAAAGAAAGAAAGAAAGAAAGAAAGAGAAAGGAAGGAAGGAAGGGAGGGAGGGAAGGAAGAAGGAAGGAAGGAAGAAAAGAAAGAGAGAGAAAGAAAGAGAAAGAAGAAAGAAGAAAGAAAGAAACAAAGAAAAGAAAGAAAGAAAGAAGAAAAAAAGAAAGAGAAAGAAAGAAGGAAGGAAGGAAAGGAAGGAAAGAAGGAAGGAAGGAAGGAAGGAAGGAAGGAAGGAAGGAAGGAAGGAAGGAAGGAAGGAAAGGAAAGGAAAGGAAAGGAAAGGAAAGGAAGGAAAGGAGGAAGGAAGGAGGGAAGGAAGGAAGGAAGGAGGGAAGGAAGGAAGGAAGGAAGGGAGGGAAGGAGGAAGGAAGGAAGGAAGGAAGGAAGGAAGGAAGGAAGGAAGGAAAGAAGGAAGGAAAAGAAAGACAACTGGGCCGGGCGTGGTGGCTCACATCTATAATCCCAACAATTTGGGAGACTGAGGCGGGCAGATCACCTGAGGTCAGGAGTTTGAGACCAGCCTAACCAACATGCTGAGACCCCGTCTCTACTAAAAATATTAAAAAATTAGCCAGGCGTAGTGGTGCGCACCTATAATCCCAGCTACTCCAGAGGCTGAAGCAGGAGAATTGCTTGAACCCAGGAGACGGAGGTTGCAGCGAGCAGATACGGTGCCACTGCACTCCAGCCTGAGCAACAGAGTGAGACTCTATCTAAAAAAAAATCTGAAGTAGAGTTGGAGGAAAGAGAGAGGAAACCTGTAAGGAGGTTGCAGTTAGAGAAAAGAACATTTATAACTAAGATCTCCCCCAAAAAAATAACCCCGTGGGATCTGCAACTCTATCACCTCAAAACAGAAAACATTAAAAATAAGAGTGCCATGTCCCTCTAAAGTTCAGTGACATTTGGTGAAAAGAATAGTAGCCAAAATCTCAGATTGTTCACTAGACATAGCTCTGCCAACAATCAGGTAAGAGATTTTAGACAAATCCCTCTCTATTCTCCGGGGCTCCGTTTCCTCCTTTGTACTAGAAAGGAGCTTGACTAGTGAACTTCTGAGGCCTTTTCTACTTGAATTACGACATCGGTTTTTTAGGCTGCTTAGCTGTGTACATCAACAGCCTGCAAACATATTCTCCTTTATATATATATATTTCTTTATATAGATGTAATATATATAAAATATACTTTAATAAAATGCAAGCCAAACATTCAAAGAAAAAGATACTTGGAAGCTAAGCAGGGTCAGGCCTGGTAAGTACTTGGATGGGAAGCATATTCTTTAAGCCCGAGTTTCTTCATGTTACTTCCAGACCCCAAAACACTTTTTGATGCTTTCTCTTGCCTTTGTACTCCCATCCCCCAAATGGCTGTGACAATCTTGTTATTAGAAATAGCCATGTTGTGGGGAAAAACCTCAAGCTTTCCATGTGTTTTCCAGCATTAACTAGCAGAAGAATTTACTGGTAATCCACTTAAAGAGATGAAGCCTTATTAAAACCAAAAACAAGTGGCTCATGGGAAAGCTTTTGTGCACTTGAGCATAACTCCTCATTTGTGTCAGCCAAAGGTTGTCCTGACTTATATTGTCATGCATTTTAACCAAATTAAGGTATCACATCATCATTACAAGTTTCACAATTTGTATCCCAGAGTTGTCTTGTTCTTTTTTCTTTTACCGAAAAAAAAATGAGTTTAAGGAAAAGCTTTAAACTGCAAAGTGAGCCGGCTCACTTAACACAGTGTCAGCCGGCCTGCTTGTTTCAGTTGAAACGAAACCAACTTTTGCTCTTCATTCTCCCTTCTTTTTTCCTGTCCCCTACTCTTATCTGCTTCCTGGAAAATGTCATTCAGGTCAGAGTTCTTAGATGCAACGTGAGATGGTTTCTCTCTTCCCAACCAGGTGATTTGGCATCTGACATAGCATGTTGCTATAGCTGAATGTTTAGACGTGGGTTTGCAAGTAAGCAGAGTCTAATGACAGAGGCGTGTCGATAATGTAGATGCCACAGAATTTCTGAATTGCTTAGTTACCAATGAGCTGGGTTATAAAAGTAGAAACCACTTTTAAAAAAGCACCATTTGCAAATGAGATCTCCTGAAATGCAAAGAAAGCCTCATTTAAAAGTGCTGGTATTATCAGTAATAGCAATTATGATGATTTACGCTACTTTATACACTTCCACACATGCTTTATATACATTTTTAATAACAACTCTCAAAGCCATGGAGGACAGGGGACAGGTATTCATTCATTCACTCGTTCATTCAATTAACTGTCTTAGCTCATGAGAAGGACAAATGGCCAGACTGCTTTATGAGACAAATGAATAGGTAGTTTGAGAAAAGATCAGGTACTTGCAGGGCTGATTGCATCCTGGGACTAAGAAGGTCAAGAAGTGATACACCAGGAGCTCAGAAATTACAACCATAATTTTTGCAAATGAGTCACACTAGAGTTAATAGGATGAGTTACAGAAACCTGACAGCTGGACCGGAAGATGCTGTTTTAGAGTTAAGCCAACAGGTGGGCATCACCTGGGGTTCATCATTGCAGTCTTGCTAGAGCAGCATATTCCCCCATTGTCAAGAAAAAGAACCCATGTTGAATATCAAAATGTCGTGTGGACTCCGCACATGCTAATTGTCATCTTTTTTACATCTGCTAATTGAGAAATATATAACAATAAAAATCTGTTCATCAAAAATACGTCACGATAAAAATCCACTAGGAATTAGCAGAGCTTTGACATAAATTTGTATTTCACTAATTCTACCAGTGCTATACCAGTCTTCAATGCATTACCTCTTCATTCCAGGTTTCTGCCACAGCTGCTCTACAAACATGCACTGGACCCTTTAAGCATTTCTCCTTTACAGTGAGCACAGTGCTAAGCTTCGTTAGCAGATGCCACTGGAGCAGAATTGCAGAAGAAAGCGAGTTTCTCTTCCTGATTCTGGTATGCTACTTTTCTTCTTCTTGCTCCAGCTGCGTAATCCATTAGTGGTACTAGGTATAGGACCATCCTGCTGTGCCCTGCCCCTACCACCTGTCCAGAGGCACAGTCTCTCGCTGACTATTTGATCTGATCCTGAGCCTATGGCCACCTTTTCACAGCCTGCAGCATAGGCACTGTGTGCTCCAGGCCTCACGTCCCCAGCAGTGGCCTAACTGTGCACTCAGTCACGGCTTCAGTTTGCCTGTGCTCCAAGAGATTGCATCCTATTTGCCCAGCAGCTATGGACCAGCTCTTGTCCTGGAAAATATCAGGCTTCTCTGACATCTGTTGGACTGCAAACACACCTTCTCCAACAAGATCTGAACCCCAGCCTTAGGGAGTAAACCCTCTTTCCAAGTTGTTCTTCCTTGGGTACTCTCCCTCAATCCTCAGATACCCTTGAAAGTTCTCTTTACATTGTTATAGTTATTCTTCTATCACTGTTGAATAATTCTTTATATTAAACTTCTCTTGCTTTACATTACTATGTGGTTTCCATCTTTGCTTAAACTCAGGCTGATAGAAGTTCATTTGGAAAAACAGCCACACTTATGTGTATAAGATATTCAATCTACAGATAACATTTGGTATAAGAAAGCATTCTCAAATCCCTTGCTGCTGATGCCTGCAACCTTCTAGCTGTCCGTAGTCACCAAGTCAGGAAACCCTGGACTAGAAATGGACATGTTGGCAAGAACAAAGACAGAATCCTTGACATGAAAATGAAGCTATTTGGGGGATGAGGTAAACAGTGTGCGATGTGGGGAGCTTTGATTGCTAGGGAACAGTGTTGGTGTTCAGCGGTCAGCCCTGCCTCCTCTTCATCTAGAAACTATGAAAGTCACAAAGGTAAAGTCTGTCTTGGATTTTAGAGGTGGGGAAGAGTAGACTGGGGCTATATGCAGTCAGAATTGGCTCAGACACTAGACTGGGATGGAGCCTATGGGTATAGCCTATGAATAAATATAGGCTCTGTCCCAGCCTATGGAGATAGTGGATGTAGCCTATGGATACAGGCCACCTGCTTCTTAAATAGGAATTCCTCTTTATCATACTGCTAGTCTTACCTAGGCTTACTATTACCGGTAGGACAAAAGGTTTTTGTCATTTTCTATATTCCAGAACAGATTAAGGACTCATCTATTTATTAAAGATATTTACCATGACAGGGATAAAATGGCTTCTCGTTGTTTTCATTGAAGCACTCTGAGAGTGTGTGTGTATGTGTGTGTGGGTGGGGTTTAAGGAGCAGAGAGTTTAAAAGGCAAGAAAGAAGGAAGAAGCTCCCCCAAACAGAGACAGAGGGAGGGGGATTCCAAAGCCAAAAGCAGAAACCCTGTGTGCCTCGGAAAAGTGGCTACTTATATGAGGAGGCTGAAGGATGTAGTGTCTGATTTGCTTAAGGCTCAGGAGATTGGTTTGACCAGGCATGTAACTCATGTAGACCTGGAAAAAACCGGACCTCCCATCCTAGCCATGATGTTCTGCACATGTGGGAATACGTGAGGGCAGCCATGTTGCCAGGCACATGTGAGGGCAAGGGCAAGAAGACAAGGGCAGGAACCGCCGTGTTTGGGTGGACCCAGTTTCTGATGGCCTGTATTTGCATATCAAAGCTTGCTGGCCAGCTCTAAGAGCTGGGACTTTCCTGTGAAGCACTCTAATTATTACACAGTTGACCATCTATTGATGTGCTTGCTTGCCATTCATGACACTTTCTCCTTTTCGGAATCTGCTCCTCATTTTCTTCCAGAGTGTTTCACTTGGTGTAGTGATAGTTGATATTGTTGTTCATTGGAGGAGGTTTCTTGTATTTTCTAGCTATTACTTGTTAGTTATAAATGATGCAAATATCTTCTCTTAATATATTGCATGTGTCTTAACTTTTTTCAGAATCTTTTACTTAACAGACATCTTTCATTTTGATGTATTCAAAACTTATTAACTTTCCTCTTCAAGTCTGTATACTTGCTTTTAAATTTATAAATCTTCACATTTATTTTTATTTATTTCTTCTTCCTATTGTTTGTTGCCTTTTTCCTGTCTAGAATCTTGAGTTAAATGCCTAGTTGTTTTATGCTCATCTTTTAGTTTTTAAAATTTACTCAGTAAATGTGGGCTACATTAATATTATTGCTCTGGTGACAAATATTTTTGAACCTAATAAAATTTTATTTTAAAACTTAATATATTTAACTCCAAATCTTTGACTAAGCCATTTTTCTTTCCTTCTTTTTAAAATTTTTAATTTTTAATTTTTATGGGTATATAGTAGGTGCCAAGCTCCTTGAACTGACTGCACCATGGACTACACCACTGTTAAGCCATGGTCAACCCTGTGACCTGCACGGACACCTCCAGAAGGCCTCCCCGAGCCAGAAAGTCTGGAGTAACCAGAAAACCTTAAAAGAAGGAAAATAGCTAGCTACTGCAGTGCTCAGTTAACTGACCTCACAACATTTTGCCGTTGTTCCTCCTTCAACCGTTCTTGCCTTATCTGATAACCCAACCTTGTAATACTGGACCTTGTGACACCTCCCACCTGATGCAACACCCTCCCCCTTGCAAAAACAGCCCTGAACTGTAGCTTCTGTACTTTCCACTGCCTGCCCCAAACCTATAAAACCAACTCCTATCCCAGCGCCCTCTGCTGACTCTCTCTTCGGACTCACCCTCCTTTCACCCGGGTGAATAAACAGCCTTATTGCTCACACAAAGCCTGTTTAGGTAGTCTCTTCATTCAGAGCACGCCTAACAGTAGGTATGTATATTTATGGGATACATGAGATATTTTGATACAGGCAGACAATGTATAATAATCACCTCCGGGTAAATGGAGTGTCTGTCCCCTCAACCATTCATCATTTCTTTGTGTTACTATCATTCCAATTGTATTCCTTCAGTTATTCTAAAATGTTCACAAATTATTGCTGACTGTAGTCATCCTTTTGTGTTATTAAATACTAGATTCCTATTCACTGTATCTATTTTTGTATTCATGAACAAAAAGCTTTCTGCTTTGCAGATGTTATTTACTTTTAAAAATAGATTTTATAAGTGGGCTAAAATCAATATGTTGCCAGAAATCACAGTATGCATCATATGAAGAAGAATAGTAGGGCCTTCATAGCAAGCAAAAAACCAGAATATTCTCAAACACAAACCAAACCCACTCATTCCTTCCTACCCTAATTTCTCCTTTCTTTCTCTGTGCTGCCAAATGTTTAACATCTGGAATTGTTTGAGGTTGTTGGCTTTACATTATTTTTTGTGTATCTTTTATCATTATTGTTATTTGTGAGAACACAAGGTCCTTTAATATTAAAAACCTACGAGTAGAGAGAAGACTCAAAAGTCATTTTCTTAATCCATTATGGTCATATAATTTCTTAATTATTGCAATGTGGAACCTGTATTTATATGGAACCTGTATTTCAGCCAATGCCATAGATACAAACTGCAACTTAAGAGAGAAAAAGAAATACAGAGGCTTAACCATATCTTACTCATTTGTTCATTCAACAAATATTTATTAAGGCCTTACCATGTGCACTATTCTGACTACCAAGAATATAGCAGTTAACAAAGTAGACAAGATCCACATTCATCTCTCCACCAAAGCTTTTGAGGAAGAGAAGCTGCAATAAAGAAATAAAAATAAATAACGTAATTTTAGACATGGGTATATCCCAAGCAAAAGCTAAGACCTGGTGACCTGAGAGCCAAGAACTTACCCAACAGGAAGCCAGCAACGTAGTATGGAGGTCATCTGGAAGAGCAAGAGTGGAGCACAGTAAATGCAATTGACCTCAGCAAGGCTTTTTGCTTTATCCAAAATGCAACAAGAATCAGACTTATTAGAGTCAATTGCTGGAAATGAAAGAGAAACTTTGTTTTTAAAACACAAAATTTCACAAATAAGAATTGACTATAACGCTACGCAGTCAGGATGGGAGTCATGATGGGAGAAGTAACCAAATTTTGGAAAAATAAAAATGTTTATGGACTGCTTTTTGAAAAAATAGGTGCAAATATTCATAAGGATTGATTTCTCAACCTGTAAGAACCATTTCACCAAAGAAAAGGTTGGCATGGCCCGGCTCTCAACACACAAATTAAAATATCACAGTACAGCATGTTTCTTTCACTCCCAAACTTTTTATTCAGCTAGAAGGCTTCCTTCTCACTCCTTTCCCCTCCAATTTCCAGCCCCGCTTATTCCAGGCTTTCACATTCCAGGATCTTTCCCCAGAAGTCCAAGCTTCTCTTCTATTTCTTACCCAAACCATTTATTGCCACTCAACCAAAATCCTCTGAATTTGTCTGCTCACAGCTAGACCATTGGCAAACAGAGGGCCTTCCAGAGACTAAGGTCACCCATTAGAAGACAGTGAGGAGTTATGAATAAGAACAAACTGTATCCTTTACAACTGTATCTCCAATTGTGCTTTGGTATCTTATTATTTCCAATAACAACCATCTCTCTTTGTGGTTAAGATTTCAGAAACTACATAACTAGCATGTATTACAGTAACTTAATGATAGGAACAAATGTCTGTACAAATTTTGTTTGTTGAAATGGTTCTGAAACTAATTCATTCTGCATTTCCTGAAGAATGAAGACCTTGTAAGTTACTTATTACAATATATGGTTTGTTTCGTGATGCTTTTTAATGTTTTATTTTTAAATGACAGCTAGTCTGAAGATAAATGGGATAGAAGCTTATATTTACAGTAGCCTCTAAACACAGGAAATACCTAGATAAAAAATTTAATAACAAATGTGCAAATGTATATGAAGAAAAAAAGTGCTCCTGAAGAATAAAATTACAAAGGTGAATGAATATGGAGATATTTGTGGAATATCAAGGACAGGGAAACTCAATTATAAGAAGATGTCAGTTCTCCCTAGATTATCCTTCCCTTGTGATAAAATACATGTAACATAACATTTACCATCTTAACCATTTTAAGTGTATCAAATACATTGTCAAATACGTTGTGGTGAACCATCACCACTCTCCATCGCTGGACTTCTTTCATCTTGTAAAACTGAAACTCCATCCCCACTGAACAATAATTTCCTGCTTCCCCTCTCCCTAGCTCCCGGCAACCACCATTCTACATTCTGTCTCTGTGAATCTGACCACTCTGGGCACTTCATCTAAGTGGAATCACACAGTATTTGTCCTTTTGCAAATGGCTTGTTTCACTTGGCATAATGACCTCAACATTCATCCGTGTTGTAACATATGTCGTAATTTCCTTCCTCTTTAAGCCTCAATAACTTTTAAATGTAGCATGATCCCAATAAAAACATACACGTTAGGCTAATGTGGAAAAATAAGCAACTAATAAAAAGAGCCCCAAAGTGTTGGAGTCCTACCTAAAGTGGCTGTTATTTTTCATGTACTCATTTACCCTCTCCTTACCCTGTTCCGGATACTGCTTTAGAAAATAGGCAGGTATTGCTTTGCACTTTTTTATGTAAAAAGAAACTGAGGCCAAGAGAATTATGTAAATTCCCAAGTTAATATTGCAAGTACCACAAGTAATAAAATAAGGTTTGAAAACCCAGGTATGCCTCATGACTAAGCCCTCCTCTCCTCCTTGATCCACAATTATACTATCTTCAGTTCCCCCTCACAGATCAAGAAAGACTTCTCTCTCCTACCTTTCCAATATTCTTAGGGAACTATTACTGTGGAAATCAATCTGATTAAATGCACTCTAGAGATGGTGGCTAACAAAGACTTACTAATATCTATCATAATAGCTAAGGAGTATTGAGCACTCATATACTAGGCACTGAGCAAAAGGCCATATGTATGCAATATTTTGACCTTTACCACATTTTTAGGAAATAGGCATTATTATTACCCTCATTTTAAGAGGTCAGTTAGGCTTAAAGAGTTGGATGTTCTCCGGTAAGTTAGGAAGGTGGTAGATGCTTGATGGAGCCAGGCTACACACACAAGCCTGGTATCCAGCCATAATACAACACTGCATCCCTCATGAGTACCTCCGAAGTCACTTGTCACTAAAGATTGTAGTCTCAGAAAGCACAGCTTTAATCACAAGAAATAAATCTGGATTAGTGACCTTCTAGCCTTCAGCTGGAAGACATTATGGTGCACAAAGGAGTCTTCTTAGTACTTCTTTGGGTATTTCAAATATGCATACTTCCTGCTGGGCTAGTCTCAGTTTCCCTGAAATCAGACCTAAGTTCCTACAGTGAACCAAAATAAAACTTTCTTTTCTTTTAGGTCTCAAGAGATTTGATGTTTTATGTCTCCAAAGAAATCACATCCACAATCCAGACAAGTTACCCCTCCATAGCACCTGGTCGGCAGATAACTTCAGAGCTAGCTATTCCTCTTTTTCAGCCTCGAACTATTTCTTCCAGCTCTAACTTTCTGAAGGTAGTTTTCCTTGTCAGTCAGGAAGGGGATGTTGAAATAATCCCAGGCAAACATTTTGTCAAGAATTTGACATGATTCTTTAAGTTCATGAAATGTTCTGCTCCCTCCCCTCAGCAGGAAGGAGTTAAATCATTTGAGAAAGATTACTTAGTGGAAGGGCCACCAGACATGCATTTTTATTTGACTAGAATTTGACTATACTTACCCTGCAAAAACAAAAAAAAAGGCGGGGGAGGTGGTGGGGGAATACTTTATGTCCTTTTGCATGGTCTGGATTTGCATCCCCACCCAAATCTTCTGTCAAATTATATTCCCCAGTATTGGAAGTGGGGCCTGGTGTGAGGTGACTGGATCATGGAGGTGGATTTCGCCCTTTGGTGCTGTTCTCGTGATAGAGTTCTCATGAGATCTCATTGTTTAAAGGCGTGTGGCACCTCCACCCTCCTTCCTCCTGCTCCAGCCATGCCTGCTTTCCCTTCACCTCCGCCGGGATTGTAAGTTTCCTGAGGCCTTCCCAGCCATGCTTCCTGTAGGGCCTTTGGAATTGTGAGCCAATTAAACCTTTTCTCTTTATAAATTACCTAGTCTCAGGTATTTCTTTATAGTAGTGTGAGAACAAACTAATATGTCCTCTATTTCTCTTCTCTCTTTTCAAACTAAACTTGTTCTCTACCATTAAAGAAAGAGAGAACCCTGAAATGCAGAGAGACACAAAAACAGTCAATTTTGCTGTTGTGCTTTGATAGACCCAGCTGTATCGCGAAGGGAAGTTCTTGTAAGCAGCTACCGTTACTTGAAGGGTCATTTTGACTACCTACTATTTTTACTTTTTTGGTGTATTTAGAACTTTTTTTTTTTTTGGTATGGGATAGCCACAACCCACTTTGTTTACATATCACCCATGGCTGCTTTCACACTACAGCAATAGAGTTAGTAGCTGGGGCAGACACCATACGGCCCACAAAGT